TCGAGTGGGAGATTGTGCTTGGCTGAACCGCCTTGCTCATCCCACGGTACTGAATGGCTTAAATCCCCCATGTTTTACCTCGCACATATGTGGATGTATCACAGGAAGCTCCCTGTCTGAGCAGCTGTCACCAGCTTTGCAGTGACAAGAAGCATGTCTTCAGCTTTCGGCTCTGAAGCTTGTCTCTTTGCAGTGCCTGTCAATGAAGATGTTCTCTGAATAAATGAACAAAGTGAAATCTTTGAATGAACAGCACATTCTTCCTCAGGTCAACTTTGCAGAGAAAGCAAATATTTCAAGAGAATATGGTTACTGCTCATAGCTCTCTGGAGCCAGCCTGCTAACTCTTCTGCGGCAGCTGTAAATCTGATAGCGGTTCAGTTTAAGGACCTTACAGAGGCTATTTTAGACTGATATAATGTACCATAAATGGGATTGAAAACTGCCATCTATAGCAGACAAAGCCTTTCTGGTTCATTCAAATACTCAAGGAACAGACGATCATGTATATGAGCATTTGGGCTCCATCCAAAAGTGAATGATAGCCGAAAGAGTTTACATGTTCCTTGGCTGGGGAACACGTTGATTTCAGAAGGCAGCAAAGGTAACACAAGGATACTGAGGGACTGCCTGGCTTTGTGTTTATTATTTGAATTTTGCCCTCTGACTCACCTCAGGCTCTCTGCAAAAGGGAACAGACCCAGAAGGACCGAGGAGCGCTCCCATATATGAAGGTTTAGAAGCAGCTCTAAACCTCCTGGTTTAGAGGCAACAAATCATTTGGTCTCCGAGGGATGGCAGCAAATAGAAGCTGCTCCCACAGCCTGCAGTTGAATTTTAGGGGGTGCCACCTGTCAAACTAAAGAGATACATCAACATATGTAATACACCACTCAGCTTGTTGATGCATTTATATAAAACCCCATACTGAACCAAGTGACTCCAGAAAGGCTTAGGCAGTGAGATTCATCAGTTCTCAATGCGGGAAATAGCCATCAGACCATCCTATAACAGTAAAGGTTAAAAGCAAACAAGTACACCCAAATGCACATAATGGCGAGGGGAGTCTGCCTTCAAAGCACGAGACCATCTCTAATTAACAGGGGTCAGGGGAACGTGCCCTGTGGCAGATCCTAACAACACGGGTACAGCGGGGCTCCCTGGGAAGCCGCAGTCTTGGCATCGGCCCCATGTGGGCCATAGAATGAGAGGGATCCCTGGTCTGATCTGTCTGGCAGTTTCTGTGCAGAATGGGGCCAATTTGCTGGGAAGCTTCCCACCCCCAAGGAGGGAAGAGGTGGGCCGTGAGTTTAACAAACATTTTGGTATTTGGAAGCTATTCCCAGCTCTCGTTTAACACACAGACTGCATTTCCCATTGCTAACTGGCAGCAAAGAGCTCATCAACATTTAAATAAGAGGCTTGTTAGTGCCAGCGTGAGGCAGGTTTGCATGCCAAGGCTGGCTAAGGTTTCTTGCCAAGGATTTTCTAAGAGAATTTCTCTAGGAAACTCCTTCAAAAGGAAGAATTCATTTCTGGTTAAAGAGAGCAAGGCCTTAATTTGAAGAGGTGCTGAGCTGGTTAAGTCAAATGGATAGTGTGAGAGCTCAAAGCCTATGAAAATCAGACTCTAGATTTTAAATCAATTCAATGAAGAATGGCATGTGGTGTTTTGCAACTGACCATGATTTCTGCAATTCAAAAACTGAACAAAAAAACAAAAGGCTGCGCATGACCTCTTCCACCAGTGCCCCTGGTTTGCTCACTGATGCTATATATGCTAAGGTGAGGCTTGAACTATACCTGCTACCTCAGTACATGATTATTATTTTCTACACATGGTCAAATGCCCCTAAGTACAGGGAGGAACCTCAGTATTTGGCTGTTTCTAGATCCCAAATGAGTCATACAAATTGTGAATAGTTTTCACTCTGTGACTGTCGTTTGAGCTTCCCCATGGAGCTCAAGACCCCATCCTAGAAAGGGGGGCGCAGGTCCCAGAGTCCTGTACTATATGTCACTACAGCATAGTTTATTGCCTTTGCTTGTTCTGTCATATAACAGGAATAATGTCCGCAGTGTTGGAATATGAGCATGGTAATTGGCTTTTGCAGTAATTAAATGCCTCGGTGCCAGCGTTTAATCAGCCGCCAAAGCCGTCTATTGCCTCATATACTGCTGCACCAGGAGCATTACCCCTTAATTAGTTGCTGAAATAGTGATGATTTAGCAGCGTCTTTATATTTATACTTTAAGACAGCAGATCCAGTCCAACATCAACAATATTGCAAGATAAAAAAGCAGCCTATTCTGCTATGCAGGGATATTTGGCCTTACGTATTTTTCCTTACCTTGTGGAAAATAGAGTCATGTGCATCTCCCGATGACACCGTGCTGGAGGTGCAGACAGCACACTGCAAGCAGTTGCTATGGCTCTGCTCCGCTCCAGCACTGACCTTGTGTATGTTAACTAGCTTCAGTATCGATAAAACATTGCCTTTGTCCCAGAACTGTCAGCACCAAAGAGGTGTAGGCTTCCCCTGCTTTGACTCACCATTACCAGCAACATCTGGATTTGGTCCAGCAGACCAGGAGCAGAGAGCCCCTATGGTTTCCTCCCTATGCTACTTGGGAAGGGAGCCTCTCTGTGTCACTGGGGGAACAGCACTTTGTCTTGCACAGTCCTGGCAGGTTGTGATGGGTCACAGTGACAGCAGTAACTCTGCCTGATCCCAACTCCTCTTCCCCCCTTTCCCTGCCTGTTTTTGCAGTGGAGGTGGTGCTGTGCTGTAACAGCAACTGGCTGTTTTCTGAGGAACTGATGGTGGTGAAAGAGCCTGCTCATTGCATCCACCCGTCCACTTCAATTGCAGCTGTCTGAAAGCAAGAAGTCTGGCTCATGTTGGTCTTTTGCCAGCAAGAAAGGCATCTCCAGTTTACCCCACTATGAGGAGATGTCTAAGAGACACTGGGGGAATGGCCCATTTGTCACAGAGGGAGCCCTACACTCGCACTGGACTCTTCCAGACTATTAGAGATAACAGACATGAACTCCAGCCAGAATGGCAATACTGCTTGCTAAGACACTCACGATAGACATATTCCCTTGGCTTTCCAAGTTTCATCCTGCTTTTGAAACCCTGAGACGTTTACAGAGCCCCTGCAGCCTCTTCAGAATTCACTACGAAGGAGAAGTCATCCTTGCTCAGTAATGAAACTCCATTTGTGACACGGAGGAAGTCATAGAGCACGTCAGCCTAAATATCCTTGAGATAAACATACAAGGCCCATCTTTGTTTAAATCCAGGTGGTTAAATCTGCAATAGTTGGAAACAGGCATTGTGTTGAGAAAAAGCAGCTGTAGGATTGCTTCATCATTTGACCAGAATATCACGAACAAGAGCAATATGTGGGGCTGCCAAACAGTCCGCACCACCTTCATCCTGCCCTGGACCCCTCGTACAGCCGGCCTTGGCACCTGGGCTTTAGATATGCTTCACTCCCAAGGCTTTCTTTGTCTTCAAAGGATTCTCTTTGCCTTTGATTGCAAGAAAAGCAGTGCCAAACGATCAAATTAATAGCTCTCCACCCTTGGCCTTCGCCTCTGGCCCTTGGCCTACTAGTGCATTTTGATTTGTGTGTGGACAACGCATCCCTGGAACTTTTCCATCCTAACAAGTTTAGGAAAAAATACCTTGTGCTATAAAGGAAGTAATAATATTGAGTTTGAAAAAGCTATACAGTAGTTTGAACTGACTTGAAAGCCTACAACATCACGCTCCCTTTACTGCCAAGACAAAGCCTTTTGGACTCCTGTGTCCTGTAGGAACAGCCTGCAGGCTTCGTCCCTTCCTGAGGGAGAACACAGGCCCTTCCTAAGGTCCCCTGGGAAGGGGGAGGAGGAGGAGCTGGGAATGATGCTGCTGCTGCTTCCAGAGCTAACAAAGCATCCCCTGACAAAACATAACCTACTAAACAAGGCCTTCATGTGCACTGGAGGTAGGAAAGGAAGCATGGGATTTAATTTGCAACCAAGAATATTTAGCCTGGACGTGAAGAAAAGCTGTCCAGCGGTGAAGATAATGCAGCTATGGAACAGGCTGCTAAAGGAGGCTGTGGGATCTTCAGCTGCGGATGTCTTGAAGGAGACACTAAATTTTGTCAGGAGCGACAAAGGGGAATGGATTTAGCTGCACTGTATGTCTTGGGATCTTTCTACAACTCTGTGAAAAACTGCCTTAAGAAAACTACTTTTTCTGATATGAATGGAGGACTCACCTCAGTTGACCCTTAAAGACAGAACAACACAGTCCCTTCCACAGAGAGACTGATCAAACCCCAGACTCTCACTCAAAGAAAGAATGGTAGAACTCCTCCACAAGCTACAGAAGGCTGCAGGGCCACCTCAGACATCAAATTCTTGGCTGCTGGAGTTCATCGAGACAAATCCCACCTGAAGATAGCCCTGTACAGGAAAAGAATTTCTGAGAGCAAAAGGGCTTTATAAAAAGGTGCAGGAATAGAGAGTGGAGAGACACAGCAGCTAAAAGCAGGTTGCAGATATTTAGTGGGTAAGAATCAGCTTACCTGGAGACACGCTGGATTTCCCATTGCCTGAAATGTTTTGGTCATGGAAAGCGTTTGGTGAGGGTTTGGTGCTGTGCCAGATGCTTTCATTGGAGATGCGAAGGTCAAGCTCTGTGATGAGCAGCAGAGTTTTTGAAGCAGATTGGGCAGGACCAGAAACAATTCAAGTTATTTATTGCAGCGATGGCCTAGAAACAACATCCTTTACAGAGATACACGTTGCAAGCCATGCTTTTTTGCACCCAACAGTGAACGAGGCTCTCGGATTAAGTATGTTAAGGAGCTACACAGTGAGTTTTTGAATGCAAAAGGGAGAGAGATGGAAGATATGAAGCATAATTGCAGGTGGAGTTTGAGAGAAAGTAAATACCATTCGACTTGAAAAAATAATTTCACACGCTAGCAAACAAAAATGAAATTTATAAGGATTTTATTGGATTGGTAAAACGTAATAAAAAAGCATTTGTGATACTTCTTCTGCAAAGAAAAAAAGGCATCTGGCGATTTTGCATATTTATTTTCCCTTACAAAACATTAGAAAAGCATAACTGATAAAATAAGGATAACAACTGAAAGAGCAGAGCAAAGAGGAAAATACATCTCAATATAATTGGATAATGCATAATAAAAATACAGAAAACACATGCTTAAAACAGCTTTCATTCTCTTACAGTAAAAAGTCATTTTATGTGTTGAATAAAAAATACACGCTGGTTGCTCTGAAAATTGCAGTTTAGAAGAGGTAACTAGCTGAGAACAAAATATATATATCTATATATATTTATAAATATAGAAAATGTGTATATGCTGTATCTGTCCTCAGAACAAACTGGAATACATGGTTTTCAATTCATGCACACAAGTTACCAGAGGAAAAACTTCATATATTACCTAGCAGACCGATCCTGTAAGGTGCTGATTGCATTTCCTGAGTGCCCTCAAAGCCCTGCTGAAGTAGTCAGTGAAGGAGACGAGTGGCCTGAAGGGTTCAGTGAGAAGGGAGGGTGCTCAGCATCTTATAGGACATGCACTCAGCAACCTGCAGGATTTGTGAAAACTCCCACGACAGAAGGATTGGGCCCCTCATGGGCTGGGGGGGATGCTTGTGCTCAGCAAGGGGGAAAAAACTCTGTTTCCCCCGTGCTCTGACAGATAGGAGACCAGTCCTAACAGCTCAAGTAATGTTACTTCATTAGGGTCTGAGGGCATGGAGTTTGCAGCAAGAAGGCACCCCTCACGTCTAGGGAATGTCCCTCTCTTGCCCAGATACCCAGGCTAGTGATTCACATTTCAAAGGAAGATGCTTCCCATACCTCTGAGAGCCTCTGCCAATGCAGAACAAGAAGTGTGACCAGCCACGCTCCCCTCCCAGCTGCAACAACGGAAATGACACAAAACCTGCTCTGCCTCCAGGGCTAGACCAACTGCTACCATAGAGCTGAAATATCACCTTGCACCTGGCCTAATCATCTCCCATGAATTAATACACAGCCAATAAACAACATCACCGGTGAACCCCAGGGCAGACAGGTCTGCAGTTAGCAGGGACAGCCAAAGCACAGAAGCAACACAGGGCAAAGACGTTCCAAGGGCATGCCTTCCTTGCAGTCTGGGAGAGCTAAACAGATCTGCATGGGCCATTTAGCCAAGAGAATCAGGACTCCCGGTCTCAGTTGACTGACTGGAAGGTAGGCACCTGGAAGCTGCTCTCCAGACTTTCTGGCAGTCCAAAATACAAGCTGTGGCTGGGGAAATTACAGGACCTTTAAGGAAGCTGAATTCCCATGGAGGCACATCATGTCTAGCAAGATCAAGAGAAAGTCCAAGCATAACTTTGCTCTGCCTCTATCTCTACCAAAACTTAGTTCAAATTCTCCAGAGGGAGAGCAGATAAGACAATCTGGTAAGATTGAGACTTATAAGGAGATACACCCATGTACCTCCGTACTGAGCAGCTATCTACCAGACAAGGTGGTGTGTTAACCAAGAGAATAAGCTTTACTTATCCCAATGGAGAACAGATGCTCAAAATTAACCACTTCTGTTCTATATCGTTCCCATAATTTCCATCTCTGCTTGGTAACAGGGTTATTTCTCTGCAGGTAATTAGAAAGGCACATAGTGAAGAAAGAGGAATATACTTTTTGTAAACGAAACTGTTAACAGCCTTCTCCTCATCTTTCTGGTTGTGCTACTTAGGTGCTTGTCAAGTGCTTTGCTACTTGGTCATTGGGCACATTAGTAATACTACATTTTAGATGGGTCGAGCAAAGAACTAACTCAGGCTCAGAGGACAAGGCAGAAAATGTTCCTTTGCCAGTTGGAATAGGTTTCCTATCCATACAGAGCTGTCACTGAGATATTGGCAGATGTAAAGAAGTGCCTCAGTTCTGTGTTTTCATTGGGTACCATCTCAACAAAGCTGAAACACAAACCACAACCTTTGGCTATGCTCTTATCTCATATAATCCTGAATGAAACTTCAGCACAAAGACAGCCTACTCAGAGCAGGACTTCATCTCCTTCCCTGCAGATCTTCATCACTGCACAGAAACCAATGGCTAGTGGCAGACAGAAACACCTGTTTCTATTGAAATACTTGCACTGCAGAGACAGAATCAAGCCCTCAGCTGGATGCACACCACTGGGTATGGAGAGGAAAAGGTGGGCCTGGATTCAAGTTCACTGGGAGGATTTCCTCACCCTAGGGCTGCAATAAAAAAAACACATGCGACAGCAGCACGGCAAGCAGAGCAAACGTTTGCAGAGGATATGCTGGGCTCTAGCTGAGGTGACTCTTAAGATGGCTTTTCCTTATTGTTGATAAAGAAGCTGCCACCAAGGAAGAATAGAAAAGCAATAAGAAACAGTGACTGTCTGTCTCTCTTTTATTTTGAAAACGAAGCACTTTCCTAAATGCAGGTCTTCTTCCCACCTTGAATTCATACTTGGAAACTTCCCAGTATCAGAACTGGAAAATACCATGATTGTATTTGCTAGTCCTAAAGCCTGTATGTGCCTTACAAGAGTCTCTTACTTTGTTTGAATTCAGTGCCTAAAACAAAACAACTCTGGATCATAGCAAGACATCATGGAAGAACACATGGTTCTGGCCATCAGAAATGCTGAAAAAGCAAAGCTTCTGTACAACAAAATTGGCACAAAATGCAGAAATGTAGTCACTGGAAAAAAAAAAAAATAAAAAAATTGAGCAACTATGCCCTTAAGTTTTTACCATGTTCATTGTTTCCACCTCTCTTCTATCAGATGAAATAGGGCTGGCCAGTTCTTTTCCTATCCAAGCTGGCTTTGCTCGCTGGGCTGTCACAGTTCTGGCACAGACCCATGGAGACAGGACTTCCCGCACCTCAGGGGAATGCCCAAGTGGGGATACTTTTCAAATATCAAACTATTCCTGTCCACCATACACTCTGCTTCCAAAAATACAACAAGCATCTCAGCCTTTAAACAAGTGGACTGAGCCTTTCAAGTTTCCTAACAATGTTTTAAACCCAGGGTAAGGAGGGATGGGAATACATTTTCCTGCTTAGAGGAGACAACGAGGAAGCCAACATTCCTGGATGTGGCATGCTGTGTAATCACAAAGCTGAGGTCTGTTGCTGAGCCCGTTCTGCCAGCCAGCCCCTGTGTGACAGAAATGGCAAGAAGGGTATTTCTGCACTGACGAACTTGGAATGAGACTAGGGGCAATGGATGGGAAGGAAAGACAGGTACACAGCATGGAAATGATTTGCCTGGAGCAAGCACACAAGTAGGTTATATTTGCCATTTTTCTACCTATCTCCTCATTCCTTCAGCCTTGTTCCCAAAAACTAGTTTGGGAACTGACTGAGGGAAGGGGAGGGGGAGCAGCAATTTGAACAGGGCAGATGCTCCAGTTTAAACCACATCTTCCTAAAAGGAACTGAGGGTGGGGGCAGGGAAGATGGCTATTATTAATGTCCTTCCGTATATAGCAAAGCAGACATCCTGCATAATGGCAACACAATACATCAATAATAGCCCAAGAATAGCTTCCTACCGTTTTTTTTCCCCTGACAGTTAGAAACATAAAGAGAAAAATCAAGCTGCTGAGATAAATAGCTGAGTCTCCACCCCCACCTCAAATTGCCTTGGCATATTTTAAGAGATAAATGGTTCTATGAGAAATTTAAATAGCTTTCTCTTTTCTTTTTTGGCAGCTGCAAGAACTGGGTCAGGTGTAGAAATTATTAATTTTGAAGCCTGAGAAACCCATGTTTGAAAGTAAGGGTTTTGTTGTTTCTTTTTTTCCTTTAAAGCATCAACTTTCTTAGAAGTAGTTAGAAAAAAATAAAAAAAATTGAGCTTTTTTTTTTTTTTAAATGAAGTCAAACCCAAGATAATTAAGTAACGGTGCTAGCTGCAGGAAAGGGACAATCTGCATTACAGCATAATGGACATTGAAAATAACCATAGTAGATTGTTAATTTTTTTTATGCACTGTGTACAGGGTTTGCACAACGGTTTTCGTTCCTCATGATCAAACGCAGCACTGGGAATAGTGCCTGAAGAAGAAGGTTAGGGGGCACCATTCTGTAGTTTAACTCTAGAAGGCATCTGTTAAAGAAGAGGAGTACTGTGGGGTGACCAGCACTGAGCCCCCCCCTGGTTCACTCAGCACCAGGTCTCAGGATCAGAAGCTGGGCTGCCCAGGGCTGTGCCAGCCAGAGCTCAGTGCTGGGGAATCTGGTACCGAACAAATCACTGCTGCCCCATTCCCACTCCTGCTTTATGCTGATAACAGCAGTTACAGCATCATACAGAGAAGCCGAGCTAAAAGCCATCTTTCTCCTCCTGCCATATCTGGAAGATGCTTTGCAACCATAAAACCTCGAATCTTACAGAAGAGAATGCTGAAATCCTGTAGAAACTGCTCAGAGCGAGGAAATAGTGGTATATGAACTCCCTCACAGGATGGTACACTAGTTAAGACCTGTAAAAGGTTTGATTTTCCATGCCTACAAAGACTCTGAGATGCTGAAAGATACAAAGCTGGCATGCAGCCTGCTCCCTTTGCTGGTTAAAATCTCTTCTGTGTCCCAAATCAGGCAGATACATGAGAAGGTAGAGGACTCCCTTGGTCAGAGCTGCTGCACCTCTGCAGGGCTCACGGCTTGTGTTGTTCTTCCCTCAGTGACCAATCAAAAATGTAAAAGGTGACAAAGACACAGATGTAAATAGAACTGCGATGCCTAGAAAGCCAGAGCACAGATAGGATCAGAGACAGACTGTAATTACAGGCCCTGCTACTTATTACATAGGCCAGCAGTGTTACATGAGCCTTCTGTGGAAACTTCCTGTGTAATTAATAAAGGAGAAACAAAATACTTTCGCAATCACTTTTCTAGATTTCACTGCGGGGGTCCAATCCTGCCATCCTGGATTAGCTCTAATCATAGTCAATCTTTCACTGCATAAACTGAAAGCATCTGTTCTGTCAAAGGTAAAAAAAAAAAAAGAAAAAAGAACAAACAAAACAAGCACCAAACCTCAATGCAAACCTACACCGTTGCAATCAAGGAGGAAAGGAAATCGATCCTGAAAACTCCCGCCCAGATCGTAATCTGACAGTGTTTTCAAGGCATCTGGCAAAAAAAGGAGAAGAAAGAAGAATGCTATGAAATATTTAAAACCCTGCTTCTGTCAGGAATACGTGAGATGGGAAAGGTGAATCTGAAAAAGCGACATTATTTGTAAGCTGAATCACCTTTTGCATAGAGATGCCCTTGGCCCAACCAGAGCTGTCCTGAGGAAAAGCACCCGGCACTGATTGAACTTGGAGAAGTCAAGGCTGCACACGAGCAGGGCCAAGGAGGTTGCCCTGCACCATGGTTTGCAGCATGGGATGTCAAGGAGAAGGCAAACGAGAATGTTGATAATATAGGAAAATAGCTGAGCGTATGCAGACCTAACTGATCCTAATCTAAAGCTTCAGTGAGATTTTCAGCAGAGATGGGAAACAGGGCATCCCCAAGGAAGGATTTCTCCAAACATCACTCCTCTTAATACTGAGCTTCTCACAAAAGAGGACAGCCAAGGATGCAAAGCTGCCCTGTGTGCTCCGAGATGCTGCATCCACACCTGCATGCAGCACAGCTCCTGTGGAAACCATAGGAGACTCCAGGACCAGTGCTGGGCATACAAATGGGAACGGAGCGGTCCTGATAAGCTGAAACAAAAGGCACTTTGGAACAAAAGTGGCACGGCCACAATCCCCACAGCGCTTGTGTAAGATAGCAAGGAAGAACCCATAGAACATATTTATCAAAAGCCATTTTATGCAGATTTTTTTTTTCTCTTGAATATTTAAAACGTGGCGAATATTAAACTTCAGACATTCTTAATACGTTCCAAAGCCCCATGGACCTTTGAAATGCTAGCTCATCAATATGCAACATCTAATCTTGTCAAAAAAAAAGAAAAAAAAAAAGGAAAAAGAAAAGCTATTCATCCTTTGCTTACAGAGGTTACAGAAAGAATTGCAAAGAAAAAAAAAAAAAAGAAAAAAACCCAAACAATCAAACTTCCAGATTCTTATGCAATAGGTTAAATTTGCACTGGTTGGGAAAGTTTCACTTTCTGCAAGGAAGAGGGAAAGTGCCTGTACGTGCACTGCTGCTGGAAGCTGCTTCTCAAGTGTGAGGCTGAAACTGCGTAGCTGGATTACAGTAAGTAGTTTATTAAGAAACCAAGGCTTGTGGCTTTGCATCCTGTTTCAGGCAAATATACCCTCAGGATCCCCCCCCTCCAAAAGCCAGCAGACAGCACGCCACCTAAAAACCCATTCTTGTCCAAAACGCTGTGGTTAAAATGGCTTTGCTTGTTTATAAAGTTTAGTGTTTCGTATCGCTTGCATCTGACCTTCAGCAGAAAGAAAAGCTCAGTTAAATTGTGCAAATATGTACCAAATGGGAGCAAGGGAAAGCGGCCAAAAATGCTGCATGAGCTTTTGCAGGGCTGCAGCCTTTTAGGAGCACCAGTGAGATGAACTGGATGAGAGGCCAAATTGATTTAGGCTCCAGGCGGGGGCTTAAAACACCACGACATCCAAATTCACAAAGAAAATGTTCTGTTACTGCAACCCCAAATTTCCTGCGCACGAAAACACTGCTTTCTTTCATCTTTGCGAGATGCTCGTTCTGTAATCCGACATTTAAAAATGAACAAACAAACAGCAGTCAGCTGACAAAGGCTTCTTGCTGGTGAATGGAAGTAGGTCACTGAGTATTTTGCCTTTACAGTCTGGCTTAATATCGGTGTTGTACGCAAAACAGGAATAAAACTGCACTGGAGACGGAGAGAGACTCTAATTTTGTCTTTTCTATGAAAATGAGCATTAGCATTCTGCATTAATGTGCAATGCCTCCCCAGCACCCGATATCTGGATAATTAAAAAAGCAGAATAAAGCGCAGAGCAAAGCACACTCTAAATTAAACAACAAAAAGCCCTCACTGGTCAGCCTGAGTTTAAAGACATCTAAGTATGAGTAATCGGGCAAAGAGGAATTTTCCTGAAGGAACATAAAAGAAAATGAAAGCTCCGCATACAAGACCAAATAAAATCTTCTGTCTCTCGCAAATGCAAATGCTGGCTGCCCTTTTTACACAAACATATTAAAGGAATAAAATTGGAGGAAAATTAAAAAAAAAAAAAAAAAAAAAAGAAAAGAAACATCAGTAAAAGAAGAAAAAAACTTAATAAATTCATTTTGAAGAAAAAAATCTTTAAAAACAAACAAACTATCCTTCAAACAAATTTCTTCATGATACGATCCCTGCAATCATGTGGTTCTAAATTAGACGGTTAAATACGTCTGAAAAAGGAAGGCACAATTTCACAATCATTTTAAAAGCAATAATTATAATCATTTTCTTTGATATCCATGTGGCAGGCCACTGATACTGTGGATGCATAAAACTACTTGACTAAAGATCTGGAAAAGTTTTTCCAACTCCCATCTAAGCCTTGCAATACCTCCGTGCAGTAAGTAACAAACCATGCCCACTGCAAGGAGTGCACATGAAGCAAATGGAAAAAGAGGGTAAGATTGCCACTTCTGGCAAAGAGAGAGGCAGAGGCAAAAAAGGGACCCCACGTGTCATCTTCCCAGCAAAAGATGCTGACCCCTGGAAAGCAGTACCTAATGGGGAGCTGTAAGAAAGAAGGGGACGGACTCATTGGCAGGGTCTGTTTTGATAGGACGTGGGGAAATAGTTGCAAACTGTAAGAGGGGAGATTTAGACTGTATGTAAGGAAACGGTGTTCTACACTGAGGGGTGGTGAGGCACTGGCACAGGTTGCCCAGAGAAGTGGTGGTGTCTGCTCCCAGAGACACTAAAGGTCAGGCTGGACGGAGCTCTGAGCACCTGATGGAGCTGTGGGTGTCCCTGTTCAGTGCAGGGAGTTGGGCCAGGTGGCCTCTGAGTGTCCCTTCCAACTCAAACGGTTCTATGAGTCTATGAAATGTAAAGGTAACGCCACCCTGGGGCTTCTGTTTCCTTCCTCATTTTCTAGAAGATCATCTAGTCATGATGAGAAATGTGGACAAGCAGTAAACCAGAAAGAAAGTTTGAGCTGACCACTCTCAATACCAGTGATCAATTCATGGGTAGTTGCCTATACACGTAACATGAAGCCAAAAGAATTGTATCATGGAATCATGGAGTGTCTTGGATTGGAAGGGACCCCAAAGATCCCCTCATTCCAACCCCTTGCCATGCACAAGGCTGCCAGCTGCTAGATAAAACAGAATCACAGAACGGCTCGGAGACCAGGAACACACAGCCAGGAGAAAAGCCCAGTGATATGAGCAGCAGTGCTTAATAATACAGTCTGAACAATTGTGCTCAGTTGTCGCACCACAAACACGTTGCGTGTGCATGCGAGTGCACACACCAGAGTGGTCTGCAAGTGTTTGAGTGTAGTGTTTGCACATCCCAGCAGAGAACTTGCAGGATGAAAGGAGAGCCGTTCCCTACTGTCCACCAGGAAACCTACTGAGGTTATGGTTTTCTCTTGGCCTTCTAGATGCCAATCAAACATTATAATTTCATGAGCTTTAAGTCTTTTCTCTCTCACAATGCTCAGAAGCACCCAATGCCAGATAGGCAACTGACTGCTGCAAATTCAGACTTGAAGTGTTGAGGAAGACAGGTAACGTTTCTAGAAATGTCTAAGAAGAAATGCCATCCCCAAACCCAGAAGGGTGACAAAGTTCAGTAAGTATCTTTTGATCTTCATGGCGGTTGCCATAATGTGCTTTTTTCCCCCCAGTAATTATAAAGAAAAAAACTGCAGTTGCCACAGCAAAGTCCCAGGCAGCTCCCGCAGCCACACTACGGCTTTAAGAGGAGAAAGAAAAACGAACCCAACAGAACTAACACTGTTATTTTAAGAAGAGTCACATTATTTGGATTGTTCTGGCAAAGGAAACAGTGACTTCAAAGTTAGCAAAGCTAGTCAAAAACAGGGGAAAAATATCTTGTGAGGAGTTTAAAAGCTTTTTTTTTTTTTTTTTTTAAATTTCACCAGGACTAACATTGAACCATTTTCCAAGAACATGTGCTTTTTTTTTTTTTTTTTTTAAATGAATTTTTATCCAAAAAAGTTTTCAAAATCATCACAGAAACTTTAATTGACCAGCAGAAGAAACCCAAGAAGGAAAAAAAGAATTGAGAAAGGAGACCAAGATTTTTGAGAAATGAAAATATTTGTCAACAGTTCTGAAATCCATTTAGATAAAAACTGATTAAGGTTTTAATTACAACAGCAAGAAATACTGTTGTGGATAACACTGCAAAGAGAGAATTTCTCATTAAAAAGAAGGCCCTTCCAACATCACATGATTTAGTGTAAAAATTGGGACCAGGACAAACTGGAAATAGTGTTCTCCAGCTTCCTCAGCTGGTGCCTTACCAGCCTCCAGTTAGTACTGAGTAGCTCCTGCCATCCTTTGGCAACAAGCCCTCTATTACCATCACTAGTGTTTTCGATTGGGAATTCCACCACCATGAGATTCTTCCCCACATCTCTGCTAGCTCAAATTTACAGGACTGAAATGTATGTCAAGTGTAGGCAACGCAGCTCTGTGAAGAAATATCACATCAGTGTGATGAACCAACTGCAGGAATCAGACATCAATAACAAAACAGTTCAAAATTCAATTCCTGTCTGAGCTGTTCATCCAAGGCACTAAGTGTCTACCATGGTTACCAAAGAAAGGCAACCGTGGCCCTTCTCTGGACCTTCTCTGGACTCTGTTATCCCTTATCTGCTGGACTACTTCAAAATCAAAAGCAACGTTATCCTAAAACCAGCATTTATTGGACCTAGGCTAGGTTTTGCTGACCACAGTCCGGCAGGAGCTGGACCAGATTCAAAGAGATTTCAGCATGACTTGCTGCATATTCCCTTCAACCACCACTGATTCTTCAAAACACAACTTTTCCTCATTCTTCTCAGGCACACTTTGCTGATAGGCAGGAAATCAATGTAAGGCCCATATCCCAGGGAAGTTTTGCAAACCTGCCATCAGGCTGAACACCTTATGTAGTGTCCACTCCGATGAATACTTTGCTACTTTCACACCTCTATGATTAAGTCATTACCCAAGTGTTTTGCAGTTGTGATAAAAATCCAAGAATTAATACATTTAAAAAACCCAACAAAATCAAAGGTGCATTAACTGATAAGCTAAAGCAATGGTGTTGCTTTCTGTTTTTAAAAGGAACGCTCAGGCAACGATTAAAATAAGTGACAATAAAACCATCACATTCATAAAATTGTAGTGTTAGCCTTGGGGATGTGCATAAGGATTGGGCTGTAACCAAGGCAACCCAAGCTTTGGGAGAAACTTTAAGCAGACATTTAAAGCCATGGTTCAAAGACAGAGTAAATCTGGCTGTGGGGCTACTTGTGACATATGGAAAGTGCCACAGCCACCCCATGCCAAGCACTGATCCTGTAACAGCTCACCCTCCTGATGTCCAGACGTTACTTTCGACCTCCTGCTGTTTGCATTCCTGAATAAAGGTGACACAGGAGCTGTACCACACGTTCAAGTGAGTTTAGCATAAATTTGACTGTGGCCCCATCCTACCAAGTTCCAATTTGTCAGATGGGGTGATGCAGAGGCAGTCTGGCATTAACGACTGCAGACCCATAGCTTATAACACACCACGCAATGGCTTTAAGCCTATGCTTAAACAATCCCCACGGGCTTAAGTATTTTGCTAAATTAGAACCTGATTCCTGGACCCTTCTGTGCCCTGTCTGGCCACACAAATCACAGGATCAGGCCCTACTTGCCAACAAATGCTCAAAGAGGCCAAAGCAGCACAAGCAAAAACTCTGCAGACTCAAACAGAGGTGTCTGTGTGATCTTCCAATTCTTTCTGAAAAGAACAGTCTAGACTTTACCACAGGCAAAAATGAAGTGATATGTATATATATATATATGTATGGGTTTTTTTTTATGGCTAACATGTGCACCTTAAAAAGGTAAGGTCTCTTTGGCAAAAACCTCCTTTTTGGAACAGATAAATGAGCTTGTATTGCAAAATGTGATAAATATTGTGATGCAGGAATATCCCAGTGGTTCTTAACTGCAGTGCAACTAAGATAAATCCACCAGCATTATCTAGTCAAATCCTGAAGCATCAGAGGGGAGCTTTCCATGAACAGGTGGCTGATGAGAGCCTCTGTGTTACTTACATACATATATATGTACATATACATATATGCACTGTCTTACAAATATGTTTACAGCAATTTTAGAAGCCAAAACAACTTGCATAACAAAAAACAAAGAGAACTGTTTTGAATGCTTAATCTTTCCAACAGGCAGATGGCTTTGGTGTTTCAGGGGTGAAAACAAAAGCACGATAGTACCTTTGCCCAGATACATCAGGACCAGAAATTAGCCACAGTACCTCAAACAATAACACGACTCAATCTTTGACAACCACTTTTCATCCATTGGGTATTTAATGTGTGAAAAGTTTGGCTCTCACCTCGCTGCCCACCAGCCCAGCTCACCACAGCACCCTAAATAACACAGATTGAGATCTACACCTCCTGGCTGGCCCTTAGCTTTGAAATGGGCTGGAGTCCCAAACCTACATACCAGCAAACTTTTCTGGAAGGAGAAAACAAAACTCCAAAATCAGGAGTTTAGGCCAATCTTTGACTAGTTTAATTCTCACAGCATCTCTGGGAAGTTGTAAAGAAGCTTTCTCGTACAAAGGACAAGAAGCCATACGACTTTCCCAATTCTAGCCTACACCATGACCATGAAAAGGGCTCTGGACTTCAGTCCTCCTGAGTCTAGGCCACATCTGCAGGCAGATACATAAGCTAGTTTCCATCACTTACCCCAGTGGTATTCATGAGAGTCTCATCAGCCACCTGATTTAACACTAACGAGAACAAAGTTCTGAGCTGCCTGATGAATGGCTTCTTGTATGCTGGGACACATCAGGTCCTCCCCTGTGATTGCAGAGATGTAAAACCAGCAGTATTAGCAACCCTAGCTCTATACTCCAGTGTTCCTGTAGGGTTAATTCAAATTGGATTCACTCACTAGTTGCAAGAGTTTTTGACTGCCGTGTGAAGGGGCTGCCTGTAAAAAGCGAGCTCAGAAGAATCTTACGTGCCACGGTTCAGGGAGCAGGAGCCCAGATGGAATCTGGCAGGAGTCGCCCTGCAAAAAAGTCTGTTTATGTCTGAGGCAGTAAAATTGTTGAAGGCCAGGGCAGAAATCTAGTATTAAAAGGCAAACGGCTTCAGTACAGCCGCTATGGTGGAGAACGATTTCTTTTGCTTAATGATGCCACCCTTCTACAAAGAAGGATTCATTTTGAGCTGTGAATTTTGGGAATCTTCCCTGACACCGAAGGAGTCTGCAAACATACAAACCATGTGAGGAACAGAGGTTTCAGATTGGTATTTCTGTGTTTGAATTTACTGTATACAGCTAAAGCTATTACAGTTCACAGGGCTCTTCCATAGAGGTTAGTGCTAAACTGGAAACAAATGCACCATTTGCAAGAGCTGTGGTGACTATTTCAGTTTTTCTTTGTTTCCTATCAGTCCAACTCATCTAACTTCTTTTTTCTTTTCTCCCAGCATTAGGATTATTGTATCAGGTTTCTGTTATAGAGACTGAAGATGAAAGCACTACATTTTCATTGTTTTTCAGTGGGCACATGAAAAAATTCTCCTAATACTGTTGAAAAGTCCCAGTTTGTCACTAATATGGTCAATCAGCCTGCAACTGTTTCAGTTCTGCTTCTTAATTTGTTAAGAGCAAAGAAAGGTATTCTCTTTGATTACATCTGCAAATAAGATATTAATGTCAATTCAGTGATATGAAAATTACTCCCTCACTATGTAATTTGCACCTTAGTTATTATGGGTTTCATGAACAAGAATATTATAGCTGCTCAGAGCCATGAATTTATAATTTATTTTCTTAATTAGCAAAGTGAAAAAAAAATAAATTAAAAAAAGCCCACGAACACCAACATGACAAAAAGAAAGGTTATCTCTGCCCAGCTTTTTATTTACCTTGGCACATGTATTACCTCTGGACAGAAGATGAAAGTACTGCTCCTGGCCCAGCACTCTTCTGCAATGACATTTCACCAGAGAGGAGTAATAAGTGGCTGGGATGAAAATGAAAGAAAAAGAAAACCATTTGCTTTTTGGGATGGCACAGAGAAGGGTTTAACACCTTCTTCAGCTTTAAGACAAAAACTGAACAACTGCACGGCTCTTTGGCCGTTGTTGGAATAAGATTCCTTTTCCAATGGGAGCTCCAGACCATGCGTGTTAACTTCACAGAGACGTCTATCCCTGCTTCAGTTCCTGTTACAGCTGAAGGAAAATCCTCCCATTTCAATAAACAACAGAACAAGACTCCAGTGCTTAAATATCTACCCAGAAGCCAGCACAGCCATTGGTCCCACTACAGTGAGTGGCACAAGATTTTTTTGAGCATCGCTTTGCACTGCAGTTCTGTGTAGTCTATTTTTTTTTAATTTAACCACTGGGATTTTTAAAGAGTGTTTCAGACCCAGATCCTTGAAAGACCTTCTCAGCAGACATGATTGGCTTATACCTCTAGTAAATCAAAAGCACATTGTGTGTGTGTGTGTATGTGTGTGTGTGTGTGTGCAAGCTCACATCTTTCTGTGGTTGCTCATATATTGTGAATTGGAAGCATCACTACTGAATAAGTTCATGTAATAGCAAAAATATAATTCCATAAGAAAAAGAAAAAAAAAAAACAACTATAGAACTGGAAGGGAATGGAGACAAGTAAGGACCTAAGAAGAAATACATAGACAACAAATCTGTGTCCCAAAAAGCTCAAGGTCACATCTACACCCTTAGGTGCAGTACTGCCAAAGTTGCGTTGTTTGAGTTGCAATGAGGAGTGCTAGTTCTGCTCTCACACTGGCTTCACATCCTCTGTGACAGTAGAGCTACTTCTGCTGGTGATCCATTAAAATCAAAGAAGATCCCCATACCTGATCAGATTTCCAAAATAACTTGGAAAAAGGAACTAGCTCAGCTACATTTCACCAGTTCAGAGCTTCTTCCACAGGCAGATAACTTAGCAGCTGGTGGTCAGACTTGCCAACCTTTGGAAGACTCACGCCTAAGTTAGGTGCCTGTTGCTGGCAGTCTGAACATGGCCACAGAACCGCCCTCTTGCTCCAAGGCCTTCCAGTTTTACTTTTTTTTTTAAAACAAACACACAAACAAACAAACAAAGATTCAGGCCCTAGGCTGGAAAGAAATCATGCAAAGCTTGTGCAATTCCCCCAGCAGGCATCCTGGGGAGGGTCACAGTTGGTACTCAGAGATCAGTGCTGGCCTTGGCGGTCAGAGCCTGGATCCGAGCTGAGTTGCAGGTCTTGCAAAGGATGTGCCCGTCCAGAGGGTAACAGCCCTGATTGTCCCCCTCAGACAGGAGGCCGCCACAGTCCTAGGAAACCAGAAAACAGAGCAAAATAAGAAATATGAACGTTACCTGAAGAATCTATTAGGCATAGAAGCTCTCTTTACTCTCCACCTTGTAACAGGATCCACCCTGAGTCAGCGCAAAGCACGAAGCTGAGGCATGTGATGACTTTCACGATTAAGACATTTCTTGATAAGAGACAATGCTGCAGAGAAGATGGGTTCCCAAGCTGTTTGCTGAATTTAATCCAATTGAAAATAAAAGGAGATTACTCCCTTCACATTTCTGAGGAAGGAAAGGTATTTAGCACTGCAGAAAGCATCAAGCTTAACCACATATTTATTATTGCAAAAAAAGATAAAAAAGAAGCATCCCTGGAAAGGAAGTTTGCTACTAATATCTGACTACAGGTAATCTCCTTTGGACGAGCTGATGCCACAAAGCTGCAATAGCCTTTTCTCAGGGGTGACCGCTAAGCAAACTCCCTGCCTGTCACCCATGACCAGAATTGTACGTTTGTATTGCAGTTGGTGCAAAAGGCTGAGGCTGAAAGGAGGATATCACTGAGATAGGAAGAGTGGAAATCTCACTATAAGGCCCCAAATCTGCCCCTGACACTTCAGCCTCATGTAGAGCCAAGCATAGCTGCTAGAACACTGGGAATTACTCCTCTCTATGTGATCAGACAATCATTTGGGAACAAACTGCTGATGGAGCTGCAATGAGAAGATTACAGCTTGCTTAGTGGCCATGTCTCTTTATCATAAATCTCTGTTTGTAAATACACCTGGCAAGGAAATGGTAGGGAAATAAAGTCTGCTATTGCTCCACTTGAGATAGGTGAGACACATGGAGGTGAGGGCCAAAACACAGAAGGATTTTCAGACATTGGAAAAAGAACTGCTGTACTTTACCAGCTCATCTGTTGTCTTACTAACATGCAGCGCCTTTCAGAGTCGCATTATGCAGAGATGATAGCTTAGCAATCTTTGGACCAGCAAATCCACATGAGCATTTAAGGTCAAATCTGCAGCTGTTCAGTTGCCCATGAGATGATGCTCTAAGCTAACAACGTACTGATGCAGGACCTATGTTGGACTTCAAGGAGCTGCATGCCTGTGTCCTCTGACATCCATGTGCATGAAGCCAGCATGGGGACATCCTGTATGATGAATTAGGCTCTGCAAAATTTAGTGTACGAATACCTAAATGCCTTACAAAAACTAGGCCTAAGTAATGAGTTGAACCTTGGAAACCAATAACAGACTGAAGTGAACCAGATGCCTCAAGTCTCAGCCTAGACCTTTAAGCCTCAGTCCGTCCTTCTTTCCAGTTGGTTATTAAAACCTGCAACTGTGACAAGAAATACGTTTGGTCTCATTTTCTTACTCTGCCATCTGCCTGATATATTATCCAGCAAGTAACACTTGCATTGAAGAATTCTTGAAGGTTCCCTAACACAGCTGTTCCCACATGTTAATTGCTTTAAGGTGATTTTTCTTCTGTCTTCAGATTCTTACCATCAAAATTATATGAAGTGTGTAATGAAACTGAACAGGAAAGTACCACAAAAAGCACTGCACAAAACAAGAATGATCATGTTTATGCGTCCATTAAAATTCTTCAACCCAGAGCCATATGTTGAGTTTCCTGTACAATCTTGCTCAAATTCTAACACGCATAGCTTTCATTTTAAGAATATAAACATGAGCAACATTTGTATCCAAGCTATAATTTATGATGTTCTCAAATATTAAGCTCTAATTAACTGAGTCACATTCTCTTGCTCTCCTAATGAACCTGTTATAAACAAGGGACCTGATTTTCTTCTAATTTGCACTGATATAAATGAGGAAAAATTCCTTGCATGCTGAAGTCAGTGAAGTAATTTGACAGTAGAGACAGTGTTACAACAGAGTTCGCCTGTCGTGCATATAACATAAGGCGCTGGTGAAATTATACCAACCTTTGATTTCTCTCCTTCGTGCAATCAGAATACTAACCTCACACCGGTAGCACTGGACATGGAAGTCACGATCCAGGGCGACAATGCGTACAGTCTCCTCTTGTCCTGGGGCTGGCATGATGGGCTCCTTACACACTGAACATCTTGGTGCAAATTTCCTGAAGAAGGAAGAGACACAGACTGTGGTGTCTTCACTATGTGATAGCACTGGCTTGACTCAGGGTCACTTTGGAGATCGAGAGGAGCACAGGCCTTTTCTTTCTATCTCATGTTGTCCACCATACAACCTTCTCCCTAATTTGCTATGTTCTGGTTTTGTACTCTGCAGCTGCCCATGAGAAGTGGTGATCTCTGCTCCCAGGCAAGTGGGCATCCATGGGAACATTTAGCCTGTGACAAGTCATTATTCACTGTTTTGGTTCAAAACCTATGGGTACCAATTCCCTGGCAGCAGTTTCTCCTCACAAAAAAATAGAAAGTTATACCTACAGAATCTACTGCTGTTTAATGAGAGCTGGGGTCACGGGCTACGCAGTGACAGAGGGCAAATGCTCATGGCAAACATCAGAACACAAGGAGATCAAAGACCGTTCTCCTATGCAATGCCTAGGAAAGATTGACTCTGCCACCCAGTCTGTGACAGAAACCACCCCAGAATTAACTAGCTTAGAAAAAAAATTAAAATCTATCTGTATTAGGAATAAAGAAAAATATTAATTTCTCTGGCAGCAGATGAAAGATGCCTGTGTAGCTGCGATCTAACAAAAAAATGAATTAAACAGTGGCTATAGCGAGCGCTCTGAAAAATAACTTACATGGATCATGATATGACCGGAGCTGTAATGGCAGTTAATTATATGCTGCTTCATGCAGGCGCTTCCTTGTGCCATTTAGCTCAACTGTGGTGTTTAAAAATACTTCACCATTTCTCTGTCCAGGCTGCTGTGGGGAATTCATTATAAGCCAAATATTAGGTCCAGCGACCCAGAAATGACTCTTGCAGATTTCAAGGGATGTGGATGCGCTTCTGTGGGCCCCAAGCTAAAGAGGTAGCTAACAGACAGTGTGGACCTCAGGTACAGTGCTGTTATCAAAACAATGCACAAGATGTCGAGCACTCAACTTCCAGACCAGGAGGAGGGCATCACTGACCACTTAAAACGGGACTGGCCAAAGCGCTGCTAAATACGTGGAAGCCTTAAGACGTTTTGAATGTTCCATTAGCTCTTCTGCTGCTCCCATTATCTTCCCCCCTCAATCTTTCACTCAGCAATTTCATGTCCTTTGCCTGGACTGACAGCCTCCTACTTCCTGCTCTCAGGGCTGTAAGATCCAGATTTATTCACAGTCAAAGGACTTCAGGATGGGACAGCAGCTCTTGCTCCCACTCTTTCTCCTGAAGGCTCCAGGACTTGGGGAAGAAGCAGTCTCCAAATCATAAGTGGGTTGGAAGGAAATCTTTCAGGAGCATGACTGATGCTTTAGCCTCACATTGGGCCTCTGTTCAGGACCAAATTTTATGTTACACATGACTGCTGGCACAGAAAAGCAAGACAGCACACAGCCGCCTCAGCACCTGTCAATTAACCCAACTTATCTGAGCTACAGGGAATGTCCTTATATTGGATTTTAGCATGCAAGTTGACTGTGGCTGCTTTCCATTCTGTCAAGTCAGTCTGCTTCTCTGAGCTTTCAGGCCCACACACTGATGTCACGAGGCTCAAATTAAGTCTACCCTCTTAGAAATTAAGAGATAAATGGTTGAGATGTAAACTCACATTTGTCAGTATTGATTTCCTCTTTTAATTGAGGGGTGTAACGTGTCTGTCTTTTCCATACAGTGGAAACATTTGTGCTCTGATTATATCTACATGTCTTCCTTAGATGTGATGATGGGGGTGGTAGCATGGCAGCAACAGAACTGCCTTGCAACTATATCTTTCAACTTGCTTTAAATGGCAGTTTCACCATAAATTATTAGCAGGGCTGTATTTTTAGCAGCTTTTAAAAGCTAATTAGCAACCAGAAACAAGAGAAACTATGAGTGTCCTGTGGCCACCTAGATCCCTCTAAATGGTAAGCAAACACCTGCTGAGCGCAACAGCACAGGACCTCTCTTAATTGCTCAGGTGGAAGAAAGGGAGAGACACTGATGTGGAAGCACAGGTACAGCCAAGGAGAAACGTGCACATGCTGAGCTCAGGGAAGGCAGGGAGGAGTGCAGAGCATTTTAAATAGATGAGCACAGAGGTTACCCATAAATTCGGATCTACACAAGACAGAGATCAAGCATTATCAGCCACTAACCAGTTAATCTTGTATGCCACACTATGCCTGATTGAAGTAAAGCTCTAACTACTTCGCAGAGTCTTCAGAGGAAGTGGCAGAGGGTTCATACCTTTCTGGACAGTCAGAGAGAATAAGGAATATTTTTAGGGACAAGAGAGACAGACAAGAAACAAAGCAAGTGAGAGCAGCTTGGGTCGTACTTATGGAAATCCTCGATGCAGTGGATGTTCCCACCAGCATCCACGGTGAAGGGAATCCCATCCAGGCTGCGATGGCACATGACACAGGTGAAGCAGTGGGGATGGTAGGCCTTCCCGGTGGCTCGGAGGATCCTTTCCATGATGGGCTTTGCACATACACTGCACTGCTCCAGTGTTTTCTGCAAACAAAACAAACACAAGCAGGCGTCAGCTCCATCTCAGCAGGATGTTCGTAAAGGTCAGCTGGGCTGGAGGCTACTGCTACTCAGCAGCTTTAGGTGCTTTCATTTCTTCTAGATAACTGCAATACAATCAACAAAGAGCATGTTAACAGCATGGGGCCTGGATCAGGTCTTTAGTATTACGTGAAAATGCAAAGCTGTGTAATCCCTGGGAGAAAAATCACAGCCTTCACTCAACAGCTCTGAGAAATGATCAGGGATGACCTAACAGGTGGATGTATCTGAGATACTGAAGTTCTCCAGCCAAGAACACATGAGAAAGTTGTGCAGCTGGAGTTTCTGCATGTTTGCCTCCATACTGCCCAGTCTGAATTACTTTTTGCAGCTGAGTTATCAGACAAAACCTCCATGAAGCACAGTGCAAAGCTAGAGCTCACACTCCTGGGGCTCTACAGAGACACCCTAACTACTCCACCCTAAGAAATCCTTATCTGTCTGGTAAGTAAGCCTTAATCTTCCTCTCCTACCAGGAAAACTTCTGTCAAATTCTAGGAGTAAACAAGACAGTGCCAGGAACAACAGCATTGCATGGGCACGAGTTCAGGATGACTTCACATGATCATTTATCTCTATCTCCCAATGTCTGAGATGATGACTAAAATGCTATTTCCAAAGCCATCCTCCCGGCCTTACAGGTATGCCAACCTTGTAGGTGTGCCAGCCTGCTCCTGAAGCACTGGAGCCAATAAAACACCCTTCAAGTGGGCTACACTGAGCAATTCGTCTCATTTCAACTCTCACTCATCCTTGTAGTCAGTTATAGAAGCACCAGAGTAGTTTTGCTCCAAACAGCTGTGCAAGAGACACTTCTGACCCCCGCTGTGCAAGTTGCCATTTCAAACCAAGCACCCAAAACACATGTGCCATGAATCAAAGGTGCAAAACACTACCAATAAATCTATGACGATGATTTGGGTCATTTCAGTGGAGCTTAGAAGAATGAATTTCACTCACTATCTTTGCTTGATGCACCTGAAGATATCAAATGTTATCAGTTAATGTTTGAATCTTGGATAAGGCAGAATATCTATGGTTATAATACTGATTTTGGCTGAGATACAGAGATATGAGGACAGGAAAGAAAGAACACATTTAATGGGACAGAAACAGACAAAGCTGCTGAAAGGCAGATCATGTTGACAAACAAAGGAAGGCTGAAGTTCTTCTTTTTCCTCATGCAACAAAACTCCAAGGGAAAATAGTACTTTGACTGACCACACTGCCATTGCTTCTTCGAGCCAATATTCTCAGGGGCAATATCCAGTTCTTACATGTACAGCCAAAATGTACTGTCAGGAGATGAATCACCCTCAGAAAGGTTACTTCTACACTCACACATATGTATTGGATGTTATCTCTGGGCTGCAAATCACTGGTAAGATACAAACGTATACACACAGCATCATATCAGAAGACCAAAAAGGTTGGTTCTGGAAAGCTTGATATGAAAAGTCCTGAATTGAAACTCATATGAGAACTGCCTAACATTTACATTTGTAAAGAGAACGCAGCCAGACTAGCACTGGTTTCAGCCTGGATTTTGCTTTATGATTTGTAATAGTGGGCAGGAAAGAATAATTGCTGGCCTTTCTGTCTGGTTGCTGTCACCATCATCATCATTGTAACAGTAGCTGGTATGTCAGAAAAACCAAGGTCAATAATTTTGCCAGGAATAACCTGGCAAATATACCATTTTGCTTTGCATAAGCAGATCACATCATCTCAGTCCATATCCCTGCTGCTTTCTCTTACCACCATGGAAGGAGTGCTGAATACCTGCAGATGCAGACTGCATCACTCGTAAAGCATCATCTATGACAACTTGCAGGTATGGAGCATTTGCCTCACCAAGTCATTGCTTGCTTTGTTTCCAAGAGCTGTCAACAACAGAGGCCGAGGGTAAATGAGAACGGGACAAACAGAGCAAAGCAGTTTCTCAGGACATGCTCCCAGCCTCCAGCAATTTCTGGCTTAGGGCTTCCTGAGCCACAGCTCGACCTCTCTGCTTAATAGTCTCGAGTGGATGCTCCCCCCATGAACTTGCTTAATAGTCTTCTGAATTCCAATAAACAGTAAGCACCCACAATACAACCAGGAATTTCACAGCTTACTTGCATATGGAGAACTGCTCTGCTGACAGCAAAGCTGAGCACAACCACCCTGGTACCATGAGCAGAGCAGAAACCAGCAGCTGCGATCCATCCCCAAGCAGCACGGCCTGGAAATGCTCTCACTACAGATCCAGTGCAACTCCTACTCACATATCTCAGAGAGACAGAGTTCAGGCTGCAAGGGATCATCCCAGCCATCTTGTCTGACATCTCGTGTGATGCTGGCTTCGGTGGGAGTTTCGCAGTGACCATAACAGCAGGTAATCATGTTTCTGGGTTATGCCTTCAGAAAACACAAGTCTTTGCTCCCAAATCGCTGCTCAGTTGCACCATTTGACATTTTCACAGCATGTCAAGCGGTTTAAATTAGCAACTCTTGATTAAACCTTCTGTACAATCCAAAAATCAGACCTGAGAAATTAATTCTTTTCATCCTTCCAAGTCTGTACCAGTGAGGAAAAACAAAGTCATTAGATTCAGACTCCGGTTCACTCCCTGTCTGGGAGTGTATTTGCTTAAGCCTCATTCCCTGCTATATCCTTGGCTCAAACCCTTCTCTTCAAGGTGTTACCACACGATGCCAAAGGGAAAGCTTCCTCGACTCACACCCATTTGACATCAGGTTGCTGTAAGGCAGGATTTGGCCTGCGGAGCTAACAGGGTTTTCTCTGATTCTGTAATCAGGTTATCCCACATGCCTAAATGCAGCCCCAGCAGCTAACAACCTGCACAAAGGTATTTCTGCACATGATGAGAATGCCATCACTCTAGGATTTTGCTCTTGATTTTGCTCTCTTTCAAGTTTAGCTAACTCTCCTAGCACCTCCTGGAAGTTTCAGGCCTTCACAAAGCCAAAAAAGATGAAGAAAAATAAAACGATGGCACTGATTTTTACCTTTTCTCCTGAGCTGCCACTATCAGCCCCAGGGTGCATCTGATGAGCTTACACAGAACTGCATAGTAAGGCATAGAGAAGAAAGGTAAGAACCAGCTATGGAACACCAGTCCTAGGCACTGTGGTCAATTCATGCCATAAGAGTACAGCCCAGCAGTCCAGGATGGGCTGAGGCGGAAGTTTACCACATTTTCCCAATGTTTTGGCTAAGAGGCAGGCAGTAGCCTTCCTTATTGAGACACTCCAGTCTCCAAATCTAATTTCTGGAGGCTGGAAAAGAACAATTGAAATAATGCATTTCAAAGTGGAAAGCTGGTCCCATATTAAAGACTGAGTGTGGGTCTAGGCCTCTTGTGAGCACAACATCCACAGCAAAGATGTCACCTGGGGAGAATAACGAATCATGGAGTTATAATGGGTGAAGGAGACCTCTAAGGTCAACAAGTCCAACCCCAATTCATCCCACCATGCCCACTCACCACATCCCTCAGTGCCACATCTCCACGGTTCTTGAACACTTCCAGGGACAGTGACTCCCCCACCTCCCTAGGCAGCCTGTGCCAGTGCATCACCACTCTTTCTGCGAATAAACTTTTCCTAATATCCAATCTGAATGCACCCTAATGTATCTGTAAAGAGAAATGAATCCAAGCAAAGATACACTAAAACACAGGCAAAGAACAACTGAGGAAGATGCCCATGAGCAGCTTGTGGATAAAAACTTGCAGGCTTAAATGCAGCCCTATCAACAACAGAGTGAACACATATTTGACATTAAGTGGTGAGGAAATTGTTGAAGAGACTCCCTACAGCAACACTTGGCCCCTCTGAAATAGCAGACACCAAAGGGAGTTGCTCTGCAGATGGTGGGTTTAAACGTGGGAAACAAAGTGAGATTTCAGTCTGCTGGGAAACACTTCTGGGGTGCAAAAGCCACCAGAGACTGAAAGTGGGAAGTGGCTGAATCCCCTCTTGAAAACTTAACATCCCAGATGGAGAGCTGGCAAACAGCTTCAGGAACTGAGCTGTGGTGACAGGCAGGCAGCGTGCAGAGCATCCTGCCTTCCTAATGCTCTAGGTAATAACCCCCAGGACCAAATGTTGGGTGACAGCAGTAACTCACAATATGGTGCAGCAGAAGGACCCTCCCACAATGACCTAGCAATGAATACAGAAGAAAAAACACAGAGATTACTCATTGCTTCTGATGTACTGGCAATTCATCTGGAGCGCTAATGAACATAACCTCTCCTGCACCGCGAGCAGCAGACAGAGCAGAGCTCACACACAAAGACATGAGGATGGGCTAGCCTGTTTTGCTGGGAAAAGGGAGGTAAGTTGCTGGAATAAATTATATTGGCAACTCATGCACAGGGACATGAACTTGCTTTGTGAGCACTACAGAAGAAACGTTTTTGGAGGGATTGCACGGAGGAGATGGTATTGGCTGCGGGAACCAAAAGTGACTGTTGAGCTAAAAACAGGCACACGGTCAACTGCTGTAGTTGAACTGTAACTTAGTAAAGTGTGGTAAGAGAATTGCTTTAAATCTTGTGACTCCATCCTTCATTTCCTCCAACTGTGAGGAGAGAGGAGCGGGAGACATTTTCCCCATCGTGGGATGAATTTTGAGGCTTGAAAATATTTCCATACTTAAACGAAGACGGTTAAGTGAAGACAGAACACTTTAATCTCAAAACGTCTGCTGAACGTATAAACCCCAAATTAGATCAGGTCAGTTGAAACACTGCACTTCAAATGGTTTCATTTAGGTTTTGAGTCTGCAACTATAGAGCTGGATTATAAGTTAAATATAAAGCAGACATCGGCGGAGGGGTTAAGTGTCAAGATGCCATTTCAACACTTTCAAGACCTTTTTTTTTTTTTTTTTTTTTTCCTCCCCATTTTTTTTCTAGAAAACAAACATTCAA